AGGCGGAGGTTGCGGTGAGCCGAGATCGCGCCATTGCACTCCAGCCTGTGTAATAAGAGCAAAACTCTTGTCTCAAAAAAAAAAAAAAAAAAAAAATGTTCTTGTTGAAATGAAGTCTCGTTGTGTTGCCCAGGCTAGTCTCCCAAAGTGCTGGGATTACTGGTGGGAGTGCGCGCAGTCTCTTTTAGACCATTTTTTAAAACTTGTTTACAGTTACTGGAAAGAAGCAACTTGTGAGCAGAAAGTTATTTATATATATAAATATAAATTTATATATAATGTGATTATCAAAGGTAGTGCCAGTAATTTGCAAATGCATTTGAATAACTGAATGACATTAATAGGTTAGGCTAGAAATAGGTAATTAGGTTATGCTAGAAATATGTGTTGCAGAGTATTGTACTGAGAAGCATTTCTAATTGAAAGACAAAATGAAAATCATCTTTTTTTTTCTTTAAGATCTGTTTACCCGAGGTATTGATATACAAGCTGTGAATGTGGTAATAAACTTTGATTTCCCAAAGCTGGCAGAGACCTATCTCCATCGTATTGGAAGATCAGGTGAGGAAAAGGAGGTCATCTTCTTGCTAGAAGATCTTTTTTGAGACATGTAATCACTAAATTTTGTTCGTTTGTGAAATAGAGTTCAGTAGCTATGAGTATAGTGAATTAACACTAATTCAGTTGTTTGGTATTTAAGACTAATTTCTAATTCTTCTGGAACATTTATTAAGAAAAGTTAAAATAACTTTGCTTAATTTGAGATGAAATTAACACATGAGAACTTTACTCATTAGGTGGTATGATGTGTGACTATAGTTTGTATTTTATGGCAACTTTTGACACAGATGAGGAGCCATTTTGTCATTTGAAAAAGATAAAGTACTACTTTGGGGCTGTAAAACCTGAAATTGTAGGGAAATGTGTGTTTGAAGACCATTAAGAAGTTGTTTTGCGTATTAAGAATAGCACTGAACAGAATTACCAATCCTGTGTGGTTTTGCCACTACTTGACTTAAAAAAAATTGCATGATTTGCATTGATTTTCAGATTTTATTCATTAAAATTAATTTTTAAACAAATTTTTTATTAGGTCGCTTTGGTCATCTTGGCTTAGCCATCAACTTGATCACATATGATGATCGCTTCAACCTGAAAAGTATTGAGGAGCAGCTGGGAACAGAAATTAAACCTATTCCAAGCAACATTGACAAGAGCCTGTATGTGGCAGAATACCACAGCGAGCCAGTAGAAGATGAGAAACCTTAACAAGCATGTACGTCCCTGACAGTATAGCTAAGAGGAACCTTTAAATGAAGGAAATCAAATTCTTCTTTTCTGGGGGAAATTTGATGTCACACGATATATAATAGCAATAAAGGGTAAAGATACCTGCTGACATAAATGACAGTAAATAATATGTCTTCTGGGAGGTTGAAGTCTCATTCGAGAACCTATAAATGTTCTTTTTTTTTTTT